ACTTTTGAAAATACTCATATTATATGTGATAACACTAGTGCTATAAATTTGTCTAAAAATCCCATCTTGCACTCTCGCACTAAACATATTGAAATTCGACATCATTTTCTTAGAGATCATGTGCAAAAATGTGATATTTGTTTAGAATTTGTCAATACCAATAAACAATTTGCCGACATTCTTACTAAACCTCTTGCTCTCGATAGATTTTCTTATATTTGAAGAGGCTTGGGTATCATTGATGAATCTGAAATTTGTAACTGAATATAAGCATGATTAAACTAAAATTGCATGTAATTTGTTGTTTTTTGGTCATTCTTGAGTCTACCAGAATTGATTGCATTTAACTAGTGTTATCCAGCCATTTCAGTCGACCAAATGATCTACCGAAATGGAAGTTCGATCGACCATATGATCAATCGAAACATGATTCTTGGTTGACCAATAATCAACCGAAAATGACTGCAGTTGCCTTCAAAGTTTCTGCAAATTTTCGGTAGACCAAAATATATCCAATCGACCGAAAACCTCGCGACTCAGCAACCTTAAAACTCACATTCATCCCCAATTTCTTCATTCTAAACCTAATTTCACAACTTTATTCCTTTTCCTCTCTTTCAAACCACCAAGATCTCACACTTATCTTTCAAAATAGCCTCAAAATTTCAACAAATCAACAACACCCATCAACCATTCATGTCAAATTTGAAGGTTTTTCTTCCATGGTTATCAAAAATTTCGAAAAACTAGGTTTTTGCTCCAACACATGAAATCGCAAATTTTTCTTCAAAAACCTCTTGCAAATCCTTTCCAAATCACTAACATACTTCAAATTTTCGTGGGCTACTCATTCTCTATTATTTCTCACTCATTTTTTTAAATCTCCTTCTCACTTATTCACTACTATCCAAACATACGATGCCTCCGAAGAAGAAATCAAAAAAGGGGGAAGCAAGTTATTCCAATATCGAGGTCGACATGCCCTTTTCCGACCGTTTCACCGATTGCCCTATCATAATTGGTAAGTCCATTGATTTCTTCGAATTCTAGCTTTAAGCTCCTTCATTTAGGATAGAAGAGTATTTTGAGAGTATTGGGTGGAAGAATGTTGTCTCTATCTCCGAAAATGTCTATCCTAGATTGATTCGTGAATTTTATCGAAATCTCTCTTTTTATTCACACCATGTCACTTGCACAATCAAGGAAAAACGTATTACCCTCGATAGGCTACTATTCGGGAAATTCTTGGGTAAAAGAATGTGAAAGTTATGCCTACGACCAAACTTATCTCGTTAGTTTGAAAGCTACAACGAACTTGAGGCTTGTTGTCGTGTCACCGACCGACCATTAACTACTAAAATGACCTTAAATCTAAACCATCTCACTACCCCTTGCAAGATCTTCATCGTGCAATTGCACATATTGTCGTCCCTAAAAGTGGTCACTTTGAAGAAGTTCATCACCTTGATTTATTTATTCTTGATTCACTTATTGTTAGTCGTCAATTGGATTTCTCTTACATTTTCTTGAAACACATTCGTCACGTCCACTCATCACCTCAAGTTTTAGGTCTACCTTATGGCATGCTTCTCACTAAAAAATTTCAACACTTCAATGTGCCATTAGACGATGAACATGTTCTTAAACTAAAACACACCAATGTCATTAACCTTAACACCCTTAAATGCATGAAAATCGTTAAATGCGATGGGCAATGGGTATATCACACTCAAGGCTTCGACATTTCCTCGGGTCCTACTACTTGGCCATTCACAAAAGAAGAGTCGGAAGAGGAAATAGGTGTTGGTGATGATGGTGGTGGTGGTGGTGGTGATGGTAATGATTCACCGCGATCGAGACATAGGCCTACTCATCCGCAAGTTGCACCTATCCCCGATCGAAAAATGTCCGAAGATCAATTCAACGTTTAACAAGGACGTATAGACTCCCTTGCTACCATCGTCGCTAGCTAAATGGATTCTCTTGAGCATAGGATGAAGCAAATGAACTTATCACATGAGGACTTCTTTGCACACATGTACTCCATTTATCCTCGAGGCCCTCCTCCACCGACGAAAGATTAATTCATCGTGCTTCTTTTCTCCATTTTCGCTTTTTGAACTTATGTTTAGTTTCATATCATGACCTATGATTATTCTTGCACTTATGCCTTGACTATGGGGGAATTCCTTTTTGTTTTATGGCCTCCATTCTTTTTTATGATGACTGAGGGGGAAAAACCGGATTGTGATTTGATTTAGTTTTATGCACTATGACTTGACTTCTAATGTGATTTACTTCCATTATTTATGAATGACGTCGAATGAACCGGATTGTTATTTGATTCAGTTCTATGCACTATGACTTGACTTCTAATGTGACTTCGAATGTGATTTACTTCCATTATTTATGAATGAAGTCTAATGTGATTTATTGAATTATGGAAATAAATATCTTTATATATTATGCTATGAAAAATTATATAAACACAAATTCGATTCCAATTAATGTGTAAAAGATAGGGGGAATATCTTGCATATTTCTACAAATCACATACTGTTTATCATAATTAAAAATGGGGAAATTGTTGACCTATGATTCAATATAACTCCACTTCTTTTGATTATAACAAACAATACACTTATATTTGTCTTTTTTTTGAGTTTTTCATGAATAAATCTTCATAAGCATTCAAAAGCTCAAATCGTCATCCGTTGAAGAACAAGCAATCAAAAGAAACTCGAAGAGAACAAGAACTTTAAAAATTAGAGTTTTTAAAAGTTGCTTCGATTTATATGTAAATGTATAACTCATCGATTTTAGCAAATGCATAAAACTCAAACTATTTCTCATAAATTCATCACTTGCATAAATATGTTTTTGATATGAAAATAAGTTTTGAAAAAAATAAACATTTTGATGTAAAAATTAACTTTCAAAACAAACATACTTCGGTCGACCGAAATGCTGCTCACCAGATTTGCAGTTTACCGTTTTTGCATTATGCTTACCGGATTTCAAAATACCATTACAGGTCGACCGATCTAATCGACCGAAGTGTTAGACGAAACTCCAACGGTTTAAATTCTACAACGATTATATTCACACTTCGGTCGATCGAAATTGATCAACCGAAACTTCATGATTTCCAATCTTTTGATTTATAAATAGCCATATCTTTTGCATTCAATTTCAACAACCTACAAGAGGAATTAAGAGAGTTTATTTATTGAAAATCATCGAGCTTACTTGATTATATAACTCTATTTCATTTATTACAAAGAATCTCTTGATTGATTAAAATTTGTTTCATCAATTTCATCAAGATTTCTACTTTGCAAGAAAACTTCTCAATCTCATCTATTTCTCTATTCTTGATAAAAGTTTTCTTTGACAACACTTATATTGAAGTGTAAATCTCTTTTCATACTTAACTTGTATTATTTTTTAAGAGAGATTATCGGTTGGAAACTTTGATACAAAGATACAAACTATTTCATTATCCATCATTCATCAAAGTTTACAACAAAAACACTTGAGTTTTACTATTTTCTATTTATTGAAGTGTTATCCTAACTCTCTAATCACTTGATTTGATTATATTATTTGTTAATAGGATTCTTTCAATTGTAAAATTATTACTTACATTTTAGGTAGTTTCGAGAGCCCTTTGAATACTCAATCGTTATTAAGGATAGGTGCTCCTTATTGTAAGTCACCTAAGAATAAGTGCTCATTGTTGTAAGTCACTTAAGGATCGGTGCTCCTTGATTGTAAGTTATCATTTTAGTGCATTTGACATTGCTCATGACGGAGAGCTTGGTAATGGGGACGTAGAACACATTGTGTATCGAACCCCATTAAATTCGATTGTTACCTTTACATTCGTGCACTTCAATTTAAATTATCATTTATATTGTGTCATATCCATACTTGAATTAAGTTATTGAATTTGCATATTTACTTCTCGTATTATACTTTATATTTATATCTTGTGAATTAAATAAGTTTGAGACTAATTGTCAAAAAAGTTTTAAAAATCAATTCACCCCCTTCCTGGTTAGTTATTCCTAGGTTATCATTTTTAAAATAAAGAAGGAAGCCAAAAAAAAAAAGAGCTCCCTAAAGAGTTGTGCTTGAGGGCTTCTTGGGCCTCTCCTCGGATCTGACTTTGCCCCTTGCCTACAACATTATCCCTTGCACGCTCTTTACGAAGCAAGCATTGACTGCTATTGTGGGTCTATTACTATTAGGAATGGTCAACATTAATGCCTATTAGCAAAATTGGGATTGAGGAAAATTTTATTAGTAAGACATTAAGTATGACATATTTCAAAATTTAAAAATAAAGTATATATTTTTTTTTTCAAAAATCAAAAATCAAATAATTAATTAAAAAATATTTTATTAATTAAATATATTATGGTCATTAATTAAATATATTATGGTCATAATATTATATAATTTATGGTCACAGTTATTTATTAGTCACAATTACAAACATTACAGTCATAAATAACAAATTTTACAGGTCTCAAATTATTTCTCGATCCCAAATTAAATAAATTAAGTGGTCACATATTATTTTTTTGTCACAAATCACAAATTTTATGAGTTACAACTTATTTTATGGTTACAAAATTTCAAATTCATTGGTCACACATTATTAAATTATTGGTCACAAATTTTTTTACGGTCATTGATCAAAAAATTTATAGGGTACAAATTATTCATCGATTACAAATCTAAAAAATCATAATTTACAATTTATTTATCGATCATAAATCACAAATTTTATAATTCACTCAAACTTTTAAGTCACATATTATTTATTGGTCACCCACCCCACGCTATCCTACCCAAATCACCGCACCATCGCCATGACCACCACCACCACCATTGTAGCCAATATCACAACCACCACCACCTTACCGCCATCGTCACCACCAACGCCATCTCACAATCTGAAATTCATCATCTCTTCCACCTCTACACACCACACCACACCATGGCCACCAACAAAATCCCCAAACTCGCCATCGCCATTTGCAACAATCATGACAATCGACCCCATCGACTGGAACCTTCGCTACCGTTGGATCCAACAAAGCCACCACTACCTAAACACCACCACCACAGCCTCATCCACCACCAATTGAAAACACACCTCAAAGAGAGATTGCAATGGCAGCTTGAGTGTCCATCCATCCACTATATTTATGAACAAACAGCACCTACATATAAAGAAAAAAATTAATAAAAGTATGTACAAAAAAAACTTACTTTTTGAAAAGTAAGTCTAAAACTATTTTAAGCGTTGTTTGACAAAACTTTTGATAAAAAATTCAGCATATTTTGAATGTGTTGTTGCAAAATTAGTAAAAATTGTGTATCCCGTGAAATATCTTATTAAAATTAATTGTCCACCTTGATCTTAACTTAACAAATTTTAAATTTTTCCAAACAAGTACTAATTAAAAAAAGGTTATTTTTAAGCGGAACCAAACATTCTCTATCATTTCCCTCGTACAAATATAAAGTTAAAATGCGGCTTTAAAAGAAAGTTGGTCTCGTATTTAATATACAAGTTCTACAAGATAGTCATTAGAGAACTTATGAGTTATGATATTAAGCCATTGTTTGGTTTTTGCTAAAAATCGAATTTTTAGTAGATTTTTGTTAAGTATGATTAAAAAGCTGATAAAAAGTGTGAAACTCATAACTGTGTGATTAAAATGATTTTAAAGAAAAATGAATTTTGAAACGGGGCCAAATAGGGGCTAAATGACAAGTCAACAAAATCTTGATGAGTTATATAGAGAAAATAAGAGGTGAAGATAGATATGTAAATTATACTAGAATGAATAAAAAGGAAATGAGAACCTAGGCCAGTAAGTGAAAGTGACAACAATCAAGCAATTTGCAGTCCTAATATACGAGTCCTTTGGTTTCAAGGGATCTAATTTCTTATAATATTTTAGTACGCACTGTGAAATATTGAAGGAAGATGCAAATATATAATAATTTACATATGCACTTTAAATTGATTTAAAAAAATTAATTTGTTATCTTGAATTTGGTAATTAAATCTTTAATTTAATTATTAGTCCTCAACTAATCTTTAAATAGTTTAATTGGGACTCAATATACCTATCTTACAATAATTTAATCATGAAATATTTATTATCTAATACTTATCCGCTCCCCCATACTTCAACTGGTACAAGTATAAATGAGGTAACTGCAGCAAGAAATGCAGGAGTATACCCTAAAATCATGCCATTTTTACTGGAGATTTTGGCCTTCTTATCAGTTATCAGCACAAATTTTGTCAGCACCAAAATTCTGTAATTTAGAATGCTGCATGTGCTTCCCTGTCATTTCCATCAACCCTATGCCCATCGACACTAAACTTAACACGGACATGGCCGTCACAAACAAATTTGGAGGCGGGTATATGAATCTGAATCTTATCAGTGCTGATACATCCATCTTCACCGTGGCAATGTGTAGCGAATAAACACAAATAGCTAAATAGTTGATTTATATTTTTTTTTCTTTTTGGATCGATAGAACCCAGTTTGTAGGCTCCTACATAGTAACACATATATATAGAGGCATGAGGGACATACAATTGTTTAATTATGAGATCTCTCGCGTGTTTGTGGAGCTAATTTAGGCTGTCTTAATAATAATTTTCCAACAATAACATCGATAACAAAGATTTCTTAGGCTTGTTTCAATAATATTCTAGACATTACATGCATGTGAGAATTTTGTTTTGTTGGTACTGGGTACTTTCTTTGAGATTTTTTATTTTGTGTGATAAAGATAAGAATTATGTTTCTTGTACAGATTGCCATGACGTTAAGGTTGACATCTTGCTTATGTGTCAAAAATCTAATATTTGATTGAAAATGCGTTGTTAAAATCAATGTACAAAAATCTGTCAACTCATATTATATCAAACTCGATATACCTGTAGCATAATTGTAAAGAGAGAGGGGGAGAGAAGCTTAAGATAAAGATTATGTGTTAGGACATATGTGGGTCACAATGGATTGCAAGCTAAAATGTAACATTAAGTCCGTCGGGCTGTGCAGGGGCGGAGTCAGCACTTGACAAGTCATGGTGACCGTCCGTGTTAATTTCGCCAAAAAAAAATTAGTGTATGTTAGGCGACCGCTCATCAAATTCTTGGATTTGTCCCTAAGTGTGTCAAATTTTCTTTTTTACCTTAAAAAAATTGGCTTGTGGTCGTCCATGATTTGGAAAGGTTTTCGAGTTTGGGGAGTAATTTGGAAAACATGAAACAAGATACAGATGTTTACAAAACTGACAGTAGGGGTGGCAACGGGGCGGGTTCGGGGCGGGGCACCCCTATCCCGCCCCGCCCCGTCCCGCCCCGGTGGGGCACGTTGCAAGACCGTTTTCCTGCCCCGTTTATTTTTTTTTATAATTTTTTTTT